AAGGTTAATGATAACGGAATAATGCCTAACCAACATCGTGTTTGTCTTACAACGTTGAATAAAGTATAACCTAGTATTTGCAGAAGCAGTCATAAGAACGAGGTATTATACAAAACTTTGAAGGCGTCCATATTTGTTGTGCTAGTTGCTTATAAAACTTTTTTCATATTAGCAGGTAAATATAATTATTAGTTTCATTGCTCTTTGTATTTTCCTCTACATTATTATATAAACAAATAACGGACTCTTCAGCATATAAATCATTCACTTCGGTTCCCTCATTAGAGTGTTTGCCAAGAACAAAAACATTATAATAGAAAAGAGCTAATAAGCATATGCATGAGACAGAAACAAATGACAACTAAATTAAATATATGCAGTCTCTGTAAACACGTTCCTGTATCGAAAACGTATCCACAAACGATGCGTTGTTGCTGAAAATGTCCAGAAAACTGCATGTCATTTGCAGCAATGGCTCTGCTCCAGCTTAGCAAAGTATCAGATTGCAAATGTTCTGAATGACTGTCTATTACGACATAGCTACAGCAGCATAATAGACCCTTCATATTGTGCAAGAATTTATCTCACTGGAGATATATAAATTTTAATAGATGAATTATACCCAAAATTCTTAATGTATTAAAGTAGTCATTACAATAATTAACAGCATATTCTGACAATAATGTCACATAAAATAGACACTAGCAACAATTTCGAATACCCTTCTCGAGACTCGAAAAATGACGTAACAGTGACTTAATAATCGGTCTCTTAACCTACTTACGTGGAAAGCGTTCATTCAGTCCTTAACCTACGAGGCGCGTCCTCAAAGTAAGTTCTAGTTGCCGGAACTTTGCAAATATTAAAAATACAGAATTTGATCCCAGCATTTAGACTTTAAGACCGCCAATGTCTTAAGCCGTTCGAACAGAGAACTCCGTATATTTATGTTATGTACTGTGACAGTAGGGACCCTGCAATGGTATAATCCGCTATCGAGAGGTCTTCACCACTATCCTTCATAAGGATTTAAAAATCTATCTCACTCCAGTAGGTCCTGGACCGAAGGGAGACACATCACCAAATAAATTTTCCACAAATATTTTATTGATATTAAAAAGTGCCTTTTCCCAGAGGTTTCGGGTAGGAGAATAGAAAAAAATTATGGTGTAATATTAATTTCTTCTTATACATCTCATAACGATCCCAACTAAGTTGCCGGATGAACAGTGTTAACAAACGACTTTTTGTGTAGTTCATCGAAGGTTCTGATTCGAACTAAGAACGATCACAAAGCAGCTTCTACGCAAATATTTCTTATCTGTGTCTCTTTAACAAACATGTATTTGGATACACAGTTTATGGAGATATTTTTGTTGTATTGCAACTGTCCTTGTAATACAATTCGCCACACAGCAGAAGGGGTGAGTTAAAAGGATTGCATTTAATGCTACTTAAACTGTTCGTTGCTAATGGATAAATAATGATACATTGTTGTAGAATTTTATTGTAAAGCAGAATACTCCTCTGATACGGTGCAAAATCAGCAGCTGGTCTGTGAAGAGGTTTGTATATCATGTTGACTGCATAAACCTCTGAGTATTTACTTTGTCGCGAATCATAAAAAAAATCCTCCGAAACACGTGAAATGCTGTGGGGCAAAAAGCACAGACGTATATTTTATGTTTAGTGAATGGTCACCGTATATCAGAAGAGTCGTTCGCCGTGATTGTGCGGCAACTTCTCTGACGTGACTGTAAAGCGGGAAACCGAAACACTTAACTCAGGCGTTTGAACAGATTCCACAGTTTCACTATTGTGATGCAGCTAGGTCCATGTAACTGAGATTCGCGTGTCTTTCTACCCATGGGCAGTTTACACAACCATATACCATGGAAAACTGAGCAAATTTGTTGTTGAACCCGAATAATACACGATCCACAACAAACCTCACCTACCTCCACAAGATCCACCTTAATATTATATTTACACATAATTTTTGGGCCTTCCAAGTACACGTTTCCCAAGCGGTTACCGAACAAACATTTATAATTTCCTCGACATCCTTAAAATTTATCCCGCCCACCCTAGCCTTCTGGGCTACACTATACTAATAACACTAGCTGACATGTAATCACGGAACTGTTCATTTCTAATACCTTAAATTTCTCGCTCACTTCTTACTTATTAGGTACAAATATAATCATGAGCATGTTGTTTTGTAAAAATAAATAAATAAATTAAATAAAACCTCTGATTTCACTAAGAGAACAGTAACAGCTGAAGATGGATGCATTATATTTCTTCGAAATATCATTTACCTACAAGTATACACTGCGCTACAAGTCAGAAAATCAACATCTATGTCAAATCTATTGTTTATCAATAAATTAACTGTTCATGTATTCAATATTTTTAATACAATGTATCAAATAGTCAAATACTAAAATTATACAGAGTCGAGTGAGATGTGATTAAATTACTGTGAATGATAAATCGGGATACATGTGGAAGGAAGAGGTCGTGTCTTAATTCAAAGACGAAATGGAATCAGGAGATCTGAAATTTCAGTATTCTTTGGAGCACATAACAATCACATGTTTTTGTTGCCCCCATCATCACCCTGATCGAGGCAGAAAGCACCCCTCAAATGTTGAATAGTTTCTACCAGACTACACGAAGCAACATCGCCGTGGAACTTGAAATCTCGCCACTATATTTCATATCATCTTGTACACTGACCTACTCATCACATCGCAGAATCAAAGAAACTAAATTCAGAACCTACCGCTTATATCGTCATTAAATCTCGATGATTCATCTTATAGTAGAACTTATGCCTGAAAGAATGCTTTACGCATACCAAACAACACACGATCCGGAGAAGTTGCCGCCTCCACGGTGCACACGATTTTGTATGAAACCTGCTTCACGCCAGCTTATAGAAAATTACAATAGAAAAAGGTCAGTCTCATGCAGTTTTCGTAGGGTATAAACAACATATTTCCGAGTAAATTAATAGTATAACAGTTCATCGAAGCATCCATTTATCTATCATTTAGAGTAGCATACATTTAAGTTGGTTAATTGTATGCTAAGCTTTATGAATCTACAAATCAAGAGATAAATTGTGTCCATTATCGTCGGTGTAAGCTAAATTTAAAAGCAAAATTTCGGCGAGTGTGTTAATTCTTGGAGAAGTACTGGTTGGTTAAGTATTAAAATGATATATTATGGACTCTTGAACTGCTGTTAAGAGTGAGATGGGGGTCATCTGAGAACAGTTTTAATAAATACGTGAGATGAGGCTACATAAAACAATTCACAATTGACACTTTCATATAATAATTTATTGTTTTAGTAGAAAGACTTCTTATGGTAGTTAAATACAAACGTCAAATTTCATTCTTGTAACGTTACACCCATGTTCTTTTAGAAAACATGTGACGCAGATGTTAAGCAATTTGAATGTTGTAAATATTTGGTTGTCATATAAAACAAATCTTACGACACTTTCCATATGAATTATAAAAAACTTTTAATCGATAGACGAGCTTGTCTGTCAGTCATGTACATGCTAATTCATGTAATTATTCACCACATTTCAGTACTGTTTTATTATCCTAAGTTATCCAACTACTTTATAATGCTGAGCCGTGTAGAGTGACAGAAATTGGCCGACATTTCTACCAGACTACACGGCGCAGCATCAGAAGACAGTCATGTTTATCCAGCTGCATTGAACGCATAATGGAAGTCACACCAAACAAAAACAACCAACCGTATTTAGTAGGGAAACCATAACAGAAAATATCTCTTGGAAGACCTATAAGCAGACGGAAAGATAATATTAAACTGTATCTTAAAGATAGGGATTATGAGGGTGTCTGCTCATATAGTATAGCGGGCTCTTGTGAACACAGTAACAAACCTACGGTTTCCATAAAATCTAGGGCACGCCTTGACCAGTTAACCGACTGTAAGGTGACTGAGGGCGCTATTCCACGTAGTTAGGCACCATTTTGTACTACGGAACGATCAGAAGGCTTGTTCAACTCTCTACAAATTCGCACTTGTTTATACCCTTTCATCTCATCGTAACCCGGCCAGTTACAACAGTGAATAACTTTCTTTTTGTGTGTGTGCATGTAGAAATATGCCTCTTGTATTGCACTGTACTACATAAAACGCAAAAAATCGTCTTTTCGTAGCCTTCGTATTCGACAGTTTCAACTTCTTACTTAAAACTACGAAGGCTACATCTCGGTTTCCGAAGAGGGATCTTGGTAAGTGAAGGCTTTCGGAAAGGATGTTTGTTCCTTTCATGTTTCTCATGATTTCCACATCTTCAAGGGATACAATCATTTTTCATTTAATAATTCTACGAACAGTAGGTGAATAAATTAAAGACATTTTACATTAAAGAATAAATCATTAAGACGCTACCGCTGTGTTAGCAGCAACCAAGGCCCGTCACTGAACGCAATCATCAGCTACTTCCGCCCACCTCCAACCCACACGATATATCTCCTTAAGATGCATCTTAATCTTATGCTCCCTTCTCCCTCTTGGTCTTCCAAGCCAACATTTTACGAGATTAGCATTACATTTCTTCGCATCACTGCCTTGTTTATTTCACTACCCCGTATAAATTATGAACTAATATTCCAAACACCTCGCTTAATTCATAATTCTTATTTCCAAATATCTTAATGATATTTCCTAATATTTATTATGTTTATTTGTACTTAAAGTCACAATGTGTAGCACAGCTAAGGAAAATTATTTAATAAATCAATAAAATAAAACAAGCATTAGGAAAGCATATACTACTAACTCAAAACACCGAAACGGTTATTAAAATATAAAAATCATACACGTAATTATACTTTAAAGAAAGTAGCCCTTATACTAAACACGTATTATACAGACAATAAATAATCTGCAATACGGAAAGAAGAACGAAACAATGAAGCATGAAAAATGGAATAGCGATAAGGCTTAGCAATGCCGCTTCTGACGTCCACCAACATACACAGTGCACGGGCAAGCAAGTTACACAAAACACACGAAGTTCTCAAGACAACAAGATATCATGTGTGTGTGTGAAAATGGGCTCTGTTAACAAGTACAAAACACAGTTTCTTAGAAAGCTGTGCGTCTTTATAGTCCTCGTATTTTTCACATTTGTAACAGGTAAGGGTAAAATTAATGTACAAGAACAAGGCAATAGACCAGAAGTAGAGCAATACATTTTAAATGACTTGGTTAAGTTTGTATAACTTCAGCTATTGGCGATAATCCGCTTCGAGTATCCAATGAATATGTTCAAATGGAGTATGGCAGTTACCATTTTCAGGAAAAAATGTCAATGGGGATTTGGGGGGGGGGGGGGGGTTA